AAAAGAAGTGCGGAATGTTAATATTTTTTAAAATTAAAATCCTAAAAAATACATTAAATCAATAAAAAAAACATTACGCACACTACCATGTATTTGACGCACACACGCATGCATACTATTTATTTATTGTCAAACTTTTGTTCTTGACATCTGTGGTAAAATTGAGAATAGATTAAATATTGTTTGTCTTTATTAATATTTTTCTATAGTGTAGTCTTGGCGAAAGTTGTGATTATAGAAGTGTGTCTTTGAAAATACAATCATAATAGTGTTCAAACTTACAATTTCAATTAATTATAGTCGAATTTCGACTACTGAGGGGCCACTAGTACGTATAGTTACCTTTCACGTCGGAGAGCTGCGTGTCGACGGGCATCAGCGACATCTCGCTCCCGGTCTCGCTGGAGTCGGTGGACAGCGCGAAGGGGAGGCGGCGCGCGCCCGGCGACCCGGAGCCGCTCCACGCGCCCTCCGCGGTCAGCCCGTGGACGATCGGCTCCGTGTACACAGATCTCTGTTGCTGGGACAAATGCAGGAAAAGCGACTATTAGTTGCCGATGCGGAACAACCGTGGACGGACGCTTCAAATGTTATTTTTTTTTCCTAAGCTGGTTCCTTAGAGGGTTATGCCCCGGCCATCGTTCATTGTTCTCGTAAATTAACCCACAGACACAGCTCACTGAGTTTCTCGCCGGATCTTCTCAGTGGGTGGTGTTTCTGATCCGGTGGTAGATTCTGCGAAGCACGGCTCTTGCTAGGGTTCGTGTTAGCAACGTCGTCAGGTTTGAGCCCCGTGAGCTCACCTACTAGTTTCACCTACTAGTTAAGGTTACGCTGAAGTAGCCTCTCAAGGCTATCAGCAAAGGTAAAAAAAAAACAGACGGACTGGTAACTGAGGTCGTCCGTGACCAAAAGAATCCAAAAGTAGGTTAGGTAGCTTAGGTAGGGAAAAAAGGCTTATGCCAGCGTAACCGAACGAGTGGGTGAGCTCATGGGTCTCTCTAACCTGGTGACGTTGCTAACACTAGCCCTAGCAATTATCTACAACCGGATCGGAAACGCGACTGTGTCTGTCTGTGGATTAATTTACTCGTCGAACCCTTCGTCGCAAGCGACGGGTTCGGGGAGGACGGTGACCGGTGCTTGAGGTACCTAAAAGCACCGTTAGTAGCTCGGGGGGATCCGAAATGACGTGTTTTGGGCGACGTCGACTGTTTAGCGTTCGCGAATGTTATTTTTATGTTTGTTTAAGAATTATTTCTTGAAATTATCATATTGAACATACTATTATTTTTTAAATTTTAAGCAGACGCGTCTACTGCCCACCTGGACGGTGAGTGGTTACCGTCGCTCGTTGAGCAAATCTAGGCGAACAGCGAAACAGCTGTCTAAAAATAAAATGAGAATTACCTGTAGCCCGAGGAAATTAGTGTGATTGTTGACAGTGTGCGGTGAGTCAAGCGGCTCGGTCACTTGGGGCCATTCCGACTCGCTACCGTCCATCCCGTTCTCCGAGGGGCACTCCTGCGTCTGACGCTTCAGTTCGTAGTCCAAATCCTACGGAAGGAATGTGAGGGTGATTGAGAGAAATTAGTGTTTTAAGCAAACTTTAAAAAAGAAAAAGGTTCTTTACCTAATTTACATAAGAAGTTTTTTGTAGAAGAACCGATTTTGATATATTTTTTTTTGTTTTTTTTTTTAAACTATAGGCTCTCGTTTAGCCCCATTTAAAATGTTCTCAAAATTTGACTAATACTTTTCTCGATAGTTATCTTTAATAATACATATTTGCATCCGAAAATCCAACCATATTATAATAATAATAATAATAAGCCTTTATTGCTGTTAAAAAATTTACAATGCTTATATCTAAATATTATATATATATATATATTTTAATGCTAGGAAACAGCTTGTCTCTCGACGTAGGCCTCCTCTAATGTTTTCCACAAGGTCCTGTCCTTTGACTTTCTCAGCCACTCTCCGTCAGCTATTCTTTTGAAATCATCTTCCCATCTTTGATTTTTTCTGCCTTTACTTCTATGGCCATCTCTTGGGTACCATTCCGTTACATATATATACGGATATTTAGAGGTTAAAACTTATAAAGATTTTATGTTGGTACTACAGATTTCGTTGTCAAACTGTCTGCTGTCAAATACGAAATTCGATAGTGACAGTTAGTATAGAGTTGCCAAGATATCATTTTGATTATTACCATTACGTTCCATTACACGTATAAATATGGAAGAACAATTTCAACTCTTATTCGATAAAATGAAAATTGAGATGAAAAATCAATCTGAATCCATAACCATAATGAACAAAATAGATGAGAAATTAAAACCTATTTTAGTGGAAAATAAATACTTAAAACTAAAAGTAGAGAACCTGGAAAAGAAAATCGAAATTTTAGAGAGAGATAAGAAAACTAACAATATAATAATCCATGGATTAACAGAAGACGAGAAATCGACACCCGAGCTTATCGACAAGGTCAAAGATACAATAACAAAAGAATTAGGCATAGCAATCGAAAATTATGAATTCAACAAAATATATCGTATTGGTAAAACAAACAAAGGTAATCCAACAAAGGTAATCCGACCTATACTGATATGCTTGACTACTGGATGGAAAAAAGCGGAAATATTGAAAAATAAGAGAAAGTTAAAAGAAAGAAAAGTTATCACGGAAGATTACTCTAAAGAAACCTTAGAAAAACGTAAGGCTTTACTACCACAACTCATGGAAGAACGGAGAAAAGGTAATTTCGCCTATTTAAAATATGATAAACTAATAATTAAAGAAAATAAATACGTCAAGGACTCGAGGAAGAGAGAACTCTCAATTTCACCACAAACAAACTCTCAATCCAAAAAAATTCAACCTTCAACTTCAGCCAAGAATAACAGAACGAATGCATTCGATTTGATGAGAGGTCGGTCTAACTCTTTCACAACATTGACGACAGGTCAAAAACAATAGCAACGAGTTATCGACGGACGGAAAAAGGAACTAACATATGAATATAAAAGAAAAACAATAGAAACAAAAACAACTCTCCCAAGCCAATTGGTCTTCGTGGGGGAGAATGACCAACACCCTCTAATGGAAAAGAAGAGATTTTTAGATATACACATAGCCACTTTTAACGCAAGATCATTAAGAACTCCTGAAAAACTTCAAGAACTTGAATTAGCTTTATCAGATATAAAATGGGATATAATAGGAATAAGTGAAATGAGAAGATATGGAGAAGGAATTGAAGACTATGGAAANATAGCAAGCGCCAACTGCTTAACAAATACGTTTTATTCCAGGGACAGTGACTATTTGTAATTAATAAAAGTAAAATAGTTTTCTTTTTCAATATTTATTTCATGTTTCATTTTCTCCATTCATTCATCAGATAATTTATCGATAAAGAATATCGATTTTATCAAGCACTAGCGTGTATGAACATTTTTATTGCCTTTTTGCATGTGTGAGTGTGTATGCCTACGGGTGTTTTGTGCTAGTTTGCGAACGAATATCTGTCCTGAGATTTATGTGTGGGTGTTTTTGTTGTGTGCAAAATACTTGTAATCACAGTATGTGTATGTGTAGAAATTAAAATAGTGGGGATGAAGCGGCGACACTGGTTCTAATACAAAATTAGAGCAAAGGCCTTTCCAACCTTATTTATCTATGCCGTGGTAGGCGGAGTGGGAGGTATTAGGTTTTATTTTCGTTACGGAATGTCTTGATTCGGTCGCCGCGGTCGAAGCGCGCGATAAAAGCTATGCAATAGCTTAAAAGAAGGCAAAAGGTGTCTCAGCTAATGCTGTTGCAAAGCGGTCGGAAACCTGGCTTTAAATAATCATTCCTAAAACAAAAATATATTCTATGAATTGCAATTAACGTGCAGTACTACTCACTTTATCGTCGAAGAAGCCCTGGTCGTCGGTCCTCTGCTGACCGAGCAGCCGGTCAGTTTCGAGATCGGTATCAGCTTCGTCTGATCGTTAACAAATTGAATAATGCACTTATTAAATTGTAAAACACTAGCGTAAAGTACATAGACACGTTTTACCTTATACATCGAGGAGTGAAATGCTATTTGGATTAAGCGACATTACGCTTAATAATTTAGATGGGTGGACGAGCTCCGGCCCACCTGGTGTTAAGTGGTTACTGGAGCCCATAGACATCTACAACGTCAATACGCCACCCACCTTGAGATATAAGTTCTAAAGTCTCAGTATAGTTACAACGGCTGCCCCACCTTTCAAACCGAAACGCATTACTGCTTCACGGCAGAAATAGGCAGGGTGGTGGTACCTACCCGTGCGGACTCACAAGAGGTCCTACCGCCAGTAAAAACGCAACATTTATCTTTGTAATTAAAGGAGCGTTTTGTTAGGTTTTAGCATAAGCACTTGGATATTTTTAATTGAACTTCAATTAAGTTTATTCCATTCAAAAAGCCGAAGAAGTTATTTTGTTACGATATTTTTTCCAAATTTCAAGCTTTCAAGTGGCTTTGCTGGGAAGTTGCAAAAATGTCGCTTAAACCAACTACTTTTATTTAGTTACTTTAGATACCGACACTGCTTATCTCTATCATGAAGCAATATTACGTTCCAATTTGAAGTTGGTAGTGGCATTCAGACTGTGATGTCTATGTGCTTGTGTCTATGGTCTATGGTAACCAAAAAACGCCAGGTGGACCGTTAGGTGGTTGACCCGTCTATACAGTAAAAAAAATGTAACACGATACCTTCGTCGCCGCTTGGAGGTTTGATCTCGACGGATTCAGTGCTTTGAGGCGAGGCAGGCCTTTTCCTGTATCAAAATAATTAAAATCAAGTATTTATAAAATACGATATATATTGATTTCATATAACTTACAAAATATCAGGGTAAAATACCCTGAAGTACCCTAATAAGATCATAAACATGTTTACGGTTGGAATGTATTAAATTCGGATTAAACAAAGCTCGCAAATAAATTTTACCTTGAAGGGTAGACGTCTTGGTGCGCGGAGGGCGGGGAGGCGGCGGGGCGGTGAGGCGCCGGCGCGGGGGGCGGGGGAGCCGCTTCGCCGCACGCCACTACACACACACATACGCATGTAATCAATCCTTATAGCCCCTTAAGCTGCTTTCAGACTACGCCATCTATACTAATATATAAATGTACAGTGATTTTTACGGATGTTCCGTTATAACTACTGAACCATGCATCCGATTGACTTGAAACTTGGTATCCATGTAGAAAATACATGTACTTAATAGATAGGCTAATATTTATATGAGTGTTGGACTCCGTACACCAATTGCGGGGGCGTTAATGATGAGAATCTTTGTGGGGGTGAGAAATAATAATGTTCATGTTAAATGCCCAGCGAAGCGGACGGGTGCAGCTAGTACTATATAATAGTGCCATATAGCATATATACTTAACCAATAATATATAATACAGTACAGTGTGAACGTGTCCATAACGATGTATGGTGCGCGATATTGTTGTGCTATGAGCTATATGCTATTGTATTATAACGTAGTCTGAAAGCAGCTTTAAGCTACCAGCAAAGAGGTGGAGGAAAAAAGTAGACGTCAGGCAAGTGGCCGGTCGTACAGCTCATGCCGAATCCCTATGTAGCATTGCGAGAAGACATGCTGCGCTGAGCCCACGTAATGTGGGTCTATTCAGATACACCTACGAGCTCAGCGCTAGCTGGTATCTATCTAACTTTGAATTTACTTACCGAGTGGATCTAAAGAATGTAGATCGGCGTCCGACAGTAAGTGGGGTTCCGTGCTGGTTCCGTTCTCTACGATTTCCGTTATTACGACCGAATGAGTCTATAAGAACAAAAATCATTGTTTGACACGTATGCACACAAAATAATTTCGATTTCTTTAAACGTGCAAGAGAGCAACCTATGGTCCGAACCGAAACTTATGGTCATGTGATAATATGCTTTTTTTTCCTACCCAAGCTGATAGCCTTGAGAGGCTATGTCAGGGTAACCTAACAAGTAACTGAGCTCTTGGGGCTCAAACCTGACGACGTTGCTAACACTAGCCCTAACAAGAGCAGTGTTTCGCAGAATCTACCACTGGATCGGAAACGCGACCCACTAACTAAGTAGATCCAGCGACAAAGTGGGCTGTGTCTATGGGTTAATTTAAAAAGCGGTAGGCAGCGGCTTGGCTCTGCCCCTGGCATTGCTGAAATCCATGAGCGACGGTAACCACTCACCTTCAGGTGAGCCGTATGCTAGTCTGCATACAAGGGCAATACAAAAAAAAAAACGTCGAGGCCTTCGTCGCAAGCGACGGGTTCAGCGAGGACGGAGGACGGACCGATGCTTGAGGTACCCAAAAGCACCGTTAATGGATCGGGAGGATCCGTAATGACGTGTTTAGGGCGACAATATGCATTAATCTATATATTATATATCAAATATGTGTGTGGTGTGTGCCCTATAGACTACGAAGAGAGGACCGATTACGGGAATATTTTCAGGAAATCTTCAGACTGACCTAGCGGGTGATTCTCCTCAGTCGGATCAAAGGTCAGCCTAACTGGAACGCATGCGTGGTTCGCGGTAACAATTACAATTTATGATCGTATCAATACAGTTGAGGATTTGACCTCATGTTTCAATCTCTCTCTGCTTTAGTAGCGCTTAGCGTTAGGTGGATCGTCCGTTCGTCTAGCACACGAAAAGCTAAGATTTATAATATCCCACCGTTAATTATGTAAATTTATAGTCTATGATTTTGACAGATGACGCGTGTTGTGGATACAAAATATGGCGGCATTCACATCTTGATATCTATGGATTTTAGTAGCGTCTGAGTCTGACCTATCAAGTGCAATATAAAAAGCCAGTTTTCATATTGTTAATGTGTAGTAGCTGCGTTGCTTATGTGTGTTATGATTATGTCAAATAGAATCACCTGTTGCATTTGATTGTTATTGTCATTGTCGGAAGCGTGGCCGGAGGATAGGCCGTCTTCGACCAATGGCAGCTTCGTCACGACGCCGGCGCGACTGGCATCCATTTGTACTGAAAAAAAGCAGGAAGTCAAGAATTTGTAAACACAAAAAAAAACTCTTTTGAAACAGTTCTAAATGATAGCTAACTTGGTTTTAAAAAAACAGCTTCAAATAAGGATTTCGATTTATTTAACATTCAACAGTAATGTCTGAGGATAATTATTTTACGGTCTAGTCTCGCGTTCTATATTGTCATTGTATTCTGTCCGGCTTTAGACTTATACTTACAGTTTTCGTGGTCACCGAACAATAAAATGTAAATCGTCGGCATTTGAATATTGTGTTAATTACAGTCTTTTTCGTTTCATTTCACGAATAACGAAAGAAGTATCATGATTACGTAAGACTAGTGACGTGCGTAAAATTGGTTATCATTATGTCTACGATTTGTGAAAAAGATTAATTAATGAATAATTAATTAATAATAATTAATACCCATTTAATGGGGCGGTAGAGCCTATGTGGAAACGTAGGAGTGCCACTATCACACCGTCAAAAGCACCGATAGTGGATCGGGAGGACACGATAGGACGTGAACCATTTGTAAGCTTAGTTTATAAACTCGGTGCAATTTTTTAGGTATATAAAAATCGATTATCCACTAGCGAGAAATTATTTGAGTAAATAAAAGTATTACTGCGACTCTGAAACTTACCTTTCATTTCAGAAAGTTCATTTTCCATTATGGACATTCTCGTCTCCGAGTTCTGAGTTCGTATCCCGAGTCCTAACGAAACAAATAAAATCCTTAATTAAAACATTGTACCGATCAAGATTGTAACAGAAATACGAGCTATTGGTTATTAAAATTCAACTCCTCACTCCGCGATGTTTCCAGACGGGTATAAAACTCTCTTCTTCAAACAAAGCTTAATAGAGTCCTCAAAAACACTGATCGATAACAATTAACTACACTATCCACTTGTACTGTTAAGTGAACCGTAAACTTTAATGAAACTCAGAGCAGTTGATTTGCGAAAGTACCTAAATATATTTTTTGGGTATCATTTATTTACTAGCAAATGATTCGACGAAATTGTTCTAAGCTTTAGATAAACTAAACATGTGCAGTGTGATTGATCTTAGCATCTACCTGACCGTTTGTTAATAAGTTTGAAACGCATTTCAAGCTTCATAGGATGACCCACTAGGCCGATTCAAAGGCCAAAAATTTCCTGAAAATTTCATTAAGCTGTTCCGACGTGTTACTTTACTGATGGTAGGACCTCATGTGAGTGGGCACGAATAGGTACCATCACCCTGCCTATTTCTGCCGTGAAGCAGTAATGCGTTTCGGTTTGAAGGAGACCTTAGAACTTATATCTCAAGGTGGGTGGAGCATTTACGTTGTAGATGTCTATGGGCTCCAGTAACTACTTAGCATCAGGTGAGCTGTGAGCTCTTCCACCCATTTAAGCAAGAAAAAAATTTAAAAAACCCTTTCGGAATCTACAAGGAACATTTAGCAGAGTGCAGTATACAGGGTGTTACAAAACTACCCGTAAAGCCGAAAGGAGCTTGAATGAGGCCTTATAACGAGTCCATTCACAATATTTAAGAACCGTAGTAATGCTGTATAACATCCCCCATACACCAAAAAAATAAAAAAATATTATAATTTTTAGGGATGTGCAAATCCTATGGCAGTAAAATTAAAGAGTAAACTACGCAGAATGTATCTACATTTCTAACCAATTCGCGGAACGACAAAAATTTTGACAAGTAAGATAAGTACTTCAGTTTAATGACATCCTCGTATTGAGGTAGCAAACATTTATGAATGAAAAATAGAAAAAACTATTAAAGTAGACAATTATTAGGTAAAATAGGTACGTAGGCCTTTCTGTTATAGTTTGGTTCCCTGACATGACAGCTTACTAGGGTTGACAAAAATTTTGGCTTTGTTAATTAATAAATTTTTTTTTCGGGGTATTTTGTTGTATAGATACATATTCGTTCACGCACAACTTGAGTCAGTTACGCGTAATTATGTCTAAAATTCTCATTTCTCTATTGTCTATTCTCATTTGCTTTTTTATATTTTTTTACAATAAACAACTTTTTCTTTCTATCTTTCTTTTTATTTGTTGACCCTACCATCTGCCAGTGCAGGTACATAGACGCCATTTTCAATTCGTTTCTTTATTGGCGCGGCTTATCTTTATATTAATACGTGAAGCAAAAACTTTATACCCCTTTTTACGAAAATTGCGTGGACGGAAGAGTATGAAATTTCCCACACTTATATAGAGAATATAGAAAAGAAGTGAAGAATGTTAATATTTTTAAAAATTATTCCTAAAAAATACATTAAATCAATAAAAAAAACATTACGTACACTACCATGTATTTGACGCACACATGCATGCATGCATACGATTTATTTATAGTCAAACTTTTGTTCTTGACGTCTGTGGTCAAATTGAGAATAGATTAAATATTGTTTGTCTTTATTAATATTTTGCTATAGTGTAGTCTTGGCGAAATTTGTGATTTATGAAATAGTCTTTGAAAATACAATCATAATAGTGTTCAAACTTACAATTTCAATTAATTATAGTCGAATTTCGACTACTGAGGGGCCACTAGTACGTATAGTTACCTTTTACGTCGGAGAGCTGCGTGTCGACGGGCATCAGCGACATCTCGCTCCCGGTCTCGCTGGAGTCCGTGGACAGCGCGAAGGGGAGGCGGCGCGCGCCCGGCGACCCGGAGCCGCTCCACGCGCCCTCCGCGGTCAGCCCGTGGACGATCGGCTCCGTGTACACAGATCTCTGTTGCTGGGACAAATGCAGGAAACGCGACTATTAGTTCCCGATGCTGAACAACCGTGGACGGATGCTTCGAATGTAATTTTTTTTTCCTAAGCTGGTTCCTTAGAGGGTTATGCCCCGGCCATCGTTCATTGTTCTCGTAAATTAACCCACAGACACAGCTCACTGAGTTTCTCGCCGGATCTTCTCAGTGGGTCGTGTTTCCGATCCGGTGGTAGATTGTGCGAAGCACTGCTCTTGCTAGGGTTCGTGTTAGCAACGTCGTCAGGTTTGAGCCCCGTGAGCTCACCTACTACTTAAGGTTACGCTGAAGTAGCCTCTCAAGGCTATCAGGTTAGGTAGGAAAAAAAAGGCTTATGCCAGCGTAACCGAGCGAGTGGGTGAGCTCATGGGTCTCTCTAACCCGGTGACGTTGCTAACACTAGCCCTAGCAATTATCTACAACCGGGTCGGAAACGCGACTGTGTCTGTCTGTGGGTTAATTTACTCGTCGAACCCTTCGTCGCAAGCGACGGGTTCGGGGAGGACAGTGACCGGTGCTTGAGGTACCTAAAAGCGCCGTTAGTAGCTCGGGAGGATCCGAAATGACGTGTTTTGGGCGACGTCGACTGTTTAGCGTTCGCGAATGTTATTTTTATGTTTGTTTAAGAATTATTTCTTGAAATTATCATATTGAACATACTATTATTTTTTTAATTTTAAGCAGACGCCTCTGCTGCCCTCCTAAACGGCGAGTGGTTACCGTCGCTCATGGACGTCAGCAAACCCAAGCAACCGTATTAAAATAAAGTAAAAATCACCTGTAGCCCGAGGAAATTAGTGTGATTGTTGACAGTGTGCGGTGAGTCAAGCGGTTCGGTCACTTGGGGCCATTCCGACTCGCTACCGTCCATTCCGTTCTCCGAGGGGCACTCCTGCGTCTGACGCTTCAGTTCGTAGTCCAAATCCTACGGAAGGAATGTGAGGGTGATTGAGAGAAATTAGTGTTTTAAGCAAACTTAAAAAAAAAAAAAAGAAAAAGTTTATTTACCTAATTTACATTAGAACTTTTTTGTAGAAGAACCGATTTTGATATATATTTTTTTGTTTTTTTTTTAAAAATGTAGACTCTCGTTTAGCCCCATTTAAAATTTTCTCAAAATTTGACTAATACTTTTCTCGATAGTTATCTCTAATAATGCATATTTGCATCCGAAAATCCAACCATATTAGTGTACATTTAAATATCATAATTCAATAACAGACCTGAAAATTGACGACCTCGTCGTTAGCGTTGAGTTGCGTCTGCACTGGCAACGTGGGACATCTGAAGAACTCCTCCAGAACCTTCCTCGTCTCCGAGAACTCGTAGAGGTAGTCGAAAGCCGTCGAACTGCCTGGTGGGGTGATATCCCTGCTCTCTGTCACTACTCGCTGGAAAAGGAACGAGACAGGAAACCATTAGTGAGCACTACATTAAATGATAGTTTTCAAAATTGTACTAATTAATAATTGTTGTTAATAATTGTAGATAATAATTGCGTTTGCTTCTTAAGTGATTTTTCAAATTTACTTTTTCTTACACGTTGCGTTATTTAGGTGTGTACCTAAGTACAATAAAATGTCTTGTATTGTATTGAATGTTAATTATATATAAAGTAAAAATAAAGCCGCAAAAGGTCGTCTTCTATGAGCGCATTAGAAAAAAAAAGCAAAAAAAAAGGCAAAGGGAACCATGTCAGCTGTAGGAAATATAAATTTTAATCGTCAAATTTTCAAATTTTCGATGAAAGTTATTTGCTATTATTAAAAACACTCTTAACAAAAACAAACCAGGTTTTTATTCGGCTACATACATAGGTACACAAACACACAAAGAGCTTCTAGAAAATGTCACTGACCTGCGGAAATCCAGGCCTCGGTGACCTGGTCGTCTTCTGAGTTCCGACCCCGTACCTCCGCGGCGATCCCTCGTATTCCGCAATCGGCAGTTCTCCGATGACGCGCGTCACCCTGCCCTTATCCTCGTCGCCCGACATCCAAACCCCCGAAGGACTGACATTCCTCATATCCTCACCCGAACGAGACGAATCACTGGCGCCGTCACAACTCATTTCACTCTTGTTGTTCAACATATCACTATCACCATTTTTGATATGATCTATAGTTCTTTTAACACTCATGTCAATGTCATTGTCACTAGGGTCCGGTTCGGTCCTCAAACCTAGGGACACAGAATTCAATATCACTGAAAATAAAGAGAGAGAGCGATATGAATGATTGGTCGGGGAGGAAGGGGACGCTTGTATTAAAACGAGGCTTGTGGAGAGTACTAACGGCAGGTAGTGGCTTGGCTCTGCCCCAGGCATTGCTGTAGTCCATGGGCGACGGTAACCACTCACCATCAGGTGGGCCGTTTGCTCGTCTGCCTACAAGGGCACTAAACAAAAATTAAAATGAAAAGATTGCAAACGTTTTCTAAGAATATTTCTCGGCAAGAATTGTAATTCACAATTTTGTAAACAGTACCCTCATTTCGATTAAATATCGACCAAGTACCTTAGTAAAAATATTATATATAAAGAATATATGTATATTTCAACTTGTGGCATGGCATTACGTACTGAATTAGTTTTGCTCGGAACTTGTGTTTAAAAAGACCACAGCCACCTATGGATATCACCAGCAATATCAGCCCAATCAAGCAACGACTAGCATGAAACAGGACGTAATCTTTTAAAGAACACAACACTAGTATCAAATTATTACTTAACAAGCTGGCTGGAAAGAAAAAAACGGTGTGAAGGAAAATAGCGGGTAGAGACAAAAGTACTACAAAAATTCTTAGAAGTCCCTTCCATTACGAGATCAAAGAATCGCGCGTTAATTAAAATGATTGTGAAACTCTTCGCAGTCGCGGCCGAATGATTTGATTTCTAATTTGGGATACCTAAAAAGTTTCGCTTATTAAGCTATGGCGGCATACTTACATGTTATTTACAATGTACTGTTTTTTTTTTAAATATAGATTTTAAGATATTAGATACCAAGGACTTTCTCCTGTGTGATGCATATAAAAAAATATGCACAAGAGAAAAAATTTAATCATTTTGAACAAAGACTGAACTCTGTAATTCTATTTGTATGGTTTGTTTCTAAATGTTTTGACGAAGCATGTTGTTGATAACTTTATTTCTGTAATCTGACGAAGCATGTTGCGGATAATAACATGTACTTTTAGGTTAGGAATATTGTGTTCTTTTTTTATAATAAATAAATTAATTAATTAGAAACTTAAAAATTATTAAAAATAAAAAAAATAAAAAATTGTATGGTTGTGATCAATTGAATATGCAATTTCGAAAAGGGCACATGTCGCATATTTTGTCAAATACGTTTTTTCATATACATGTAGTTTTGAGGCTCACCTACACCTATTTTATAATAATTCCAGTAATTTTCAATTGCTAATTAACACTAAAATATATCTCAAAAGTTAATATTTTAAATTTTACACTGCTTTAGAAAATAATCAGTTTTTTTTCATTTCCTGAACATTTTACATTTTCAGAGATGTGCCCTTTTCGAAATTGCATATTCAATTGTTTTCGATTGATTTATAGTAAGTTTCCATTCTTTAACCTAATCCTATTGTTTAATTAAAAAAAGTTAAATCTTAATGGCTACTCCACGTACTACGCTGTTCCTGGTATCATGGACGGTGGCAACCCATTAGTTTTACTAAAACATTAAGGGCTATATTTTAAAAAGTTAGTGAGTCACAGCGAACCCATTTCGTCAGTCAAGTTTAAAGATCACCTTTCCAATCATCGTTCTCATCGAGCACCATGACTTCTCCATCAGCGACCACGGCTATGGGACTGCTTTTCGTGCTGACATCGGTCGTCTTATGGGGGTCCAGTATTGGTGAGCTATTCTTTGGTATTCCCATGGAGTTCTGTTCGATAGGGTCACGGTCGCCATTCGTATACGTAGGGGACGTGTGTCGGATGATTTTCTTTTGTTCACTGTTCAGTCTGTGAATGGAAATCTGAAAAACATAATAAATCAACAAAGTGACAACCTTATTAATAAACTTGGGTGGGAAGGGAGAAGCCTAGACTTGTCTTTTTCATTCACAACGCGCTTCAAATGCGAGCGAAAGAGACTGAATACAGTCTATAAAAAATCAGCACCTTCCTTAAATACAGGTCTGGTATTCTCTGACGTAGTTTAGACTACTATTTTTATGATCATATCGTATGGATGTAATTTCGCAACGAGCGATAATATCGTAAATTTTCACGGTTTCAATTCCAAACATTCCATTCCATTCAGTTTATTAAAAAACAAGTCAATGTGAATAGCATTTCGACGTATTTCTTACTACATTTAAGGTAATTTAACACAAAGCGGTGTGTTCTATCATAATAATATTTATAACTAGCCGAGTCCCGCGATGTTACCCGCGGTTGTTGTCGTACCCCGGGTGACGCCGCGGGGCGAAGTTAGTCTAAAAAAAGCCTAAGTTACTCCTTATATCATCAGCTACCTATCAGTGAAAGTCTCGTTAAAATCGGTCCAGCCGTTTAGCAGAAATTAACCGGAACAAACAAACAGACAGACAGACAAAAATTGTATAATAAAAAATGTTATTTTGGTGTATATACCGTATACCTATATATTCATATGCATATAGTAAAATGCGGTTATTTCAATATTACAAACAGACACTCCAATTTTGTTTCTAAGTATAGATATCAGTATACAGGTTAGGTATATTACAGGGCGTTGTATGAGACCATACGGGTAGGTTCAACGATCCTGCCTATTTCTGCCGTGAAGCAGTAATGCGTTTCGGTTTCGGTGGGGCAGCCGTTGTACCGTAAAACTGAGACTTAGACCTCGTGTCTCAATGTGTGTGGTGGGCATTCACGTGAAGATATTCATGGGCTACGAAAACCAATCAAAACCAAACAGAAAGTGGGCTCTTTCAGCCATCTATGCTATAAAAGTCTTAATAAAAAAAACTTAATATTAAAAAAAGACGTTATTCCAAATGTACTAGTAACATTTATTATTCTGGTACTTATTCGTTTAGTGCCGAAATTTTATTCTATTTTATACTTTTGTGTGGAGCCTTGAGTTGAAAAGGTGAATAACCTCCTACTTATTTATATTATCTCATCAATCTTTTTAATTTTCTCAAATAGATAATTAATAAATAAGATAAACGATAATACCAGACACTACGACTGATTATTGCTACTCTTCGTTCCCGAGCGACGCTCATACGATTTCGCAACTATACAGCATCTTGCAGACATCTCCTTCCTTTCCCGGTCTCGGTACAAACATTAGCCAGTTACATTTATAAGGTACTATTTACGATAAAAAAAAATCGAAGAGAACAGTTACCTCATTGTTAATATTGTCGACTCCGTGGTCGATGGTGTCTTTGCCAAGGGACCGCACCTTGTTCCTCAAGTTGTGTTTGTGGGTGTTGTTGTGCCTTAACTTACGCACTGCTTTCGTTCGACTCTGAGAGTACAGCTCGCGACCTCCTGCGATTTCTATTATCCTGGTAAAACGAGTGCAATGATTATTAACAATACGTCTGTAGGCAGCGGCTTGACTGTGCTCCTAGCGTTGCTGATGTCAATGGGCGACCATTCACAATCAGATGGGCCGTATGCTCATCTGCCCATATGGGCAATAAAAAATTACATGCAGTTTCTTGCACACACAGACCTCATGAAGTTAAGATGGCGCATCCCAATAGTATTAGGAAATGAGGAGATGATATAATAGAACAGAACAGTTGAGTAAAATTCACATCTTAACAAAACCGATAGAAGCTTCGAAAGCCCGAAATTCCAGGCATATGACGCTTCGTCTAAACTATGTCCAAGATTCTGCGAGTCTTAATTCTGCGAGTGCTTTTAACGCCCTTTAATACCCACTGCTGGGCATAGGCTAAAGTGAAACTTCTTTTGCGGTGTGTAGTATTGTGGTTTGCGTAATTTTTCGTCCTTAAAACCCTTATAATAGGGAATGCTATGTATAAGAGAACCGACGTAGTTCGCTTTGTCCTTTCCCTATCTCCACGGTCAAGTGGTTCACGAGACGCTCTGTCGATTTTCTCACTCTCGCTCTCTCTAAATTGTATTTTTTCTCTCTAGCCGTAACGAAACTGTCACGAGTTAAATTTTGCTCTCAACGCGGCTAAAGCAATTTAATTTTAATAACTGTTCTCCGGTCCTATTTTACAGTGTGTTGTTAAAGGTTCGATCAGAAAGTTGAAACGAAATCAAGAAAAATATTTATTTGTTGGGTTGTGGAGAAATAAATTCGGTTATGCCTTGCGGTTGTTTCCCTGCACATCGACTGATTGTATTGCAAAATGATTTTGATTTATTCAGACTCCTTGTCTAGTCGAACGATTTTGAAACGCAAGCTGACGTGATATTGTAATAATGTCAATAGTTTCTCCCTCGTAATTTCACGCTCTGCTGTGCTTTGTACGATGCAAACAGGCTCCGTAAATACCAACAACCCCTGTCAAACTGCGACCTTCAAAAACTTGACATATTAATTTTGATATTTCTTGGCTTACTAATAATTTACGCGGTATGTAGGCTTTGTTTAGCGATCAATGGAAACCGATATAATGCTGTGGTTGATGTTCAAACCTGTATATGTATATGAAGTGGTTTTTTTTTACTTTTCTTCTCCTACTTGAAATTATGGCATTCATATAACTTTTATGAACTGTAAATGGACCGTGATCTTCTTATGACTTCTCGTGAACATTTTTTACACTTAACTATTAGTGAGAAAGAGAAGGACGGTGTCGCCAAATACTTAATTATTAACAACAAGCCTGGAATAGTTACTTAGGCATAGTGCTAAATTTAACCCCCACTTCATTTATGTAGAAAGTCATGATATGTTTGAATTATAGAATGTTAAGGAGCTATTTAAAACCCTATTTTGAAACATTATTTATTGGTGCTCCACTTGTATTGGTCTTACCGTGATGCTTATAGCCTATAGCCTTCCTCAATAAATGGGCTATCTAATACTGAACGAATTTTTTACAAATCGGTCCAGTAGTTCCTGAGATTAGCGCGTTCAAACAAACAAACTCTTCAGCTTTATAATATCAGTATAGATATTCACGATGCTTAGATACTGCGCGTCCATTTGCAATTTTCATTCGGGACTTTATACTTTTAAGCTAAGCTTAAGACGTTACTTACCTAGAATCTCTGAGTTTGTATGTTCCGCCTTTGGAGTTGAGAATGACGAGCTGGCCGTCGCCTCTCTCCTCGTCGGAGGAGGCATTGTTCGCGTCTCGGGCCTCCAGGCCGGAGTTTAATCTGGAACACCGACAATAATGCTTTATGCACACATCTTTACTAATATTATAAGGAGGAAATATTTGTTTGTTTGTTTGTATTGAATAGGCTCCAAAACTACTGAACCGATTTGAAAAATTATTTCACTGTTTTGAAGCTACACTATTCCCGAGTGATATAGGCTATAATCTTTTTTGAAAAAAATTAGGGATCCTTACTAAAACTCCAATAATGTAACCCAAGGTGTAAAAAAGAATACCTAAAATATTCTTTACATCGCGTGCCCTGCGAAACCTATAGATGGTAGAATGAAAAAAATAAATAAAAAAATACGACTTTGTAGAACACATTATTATTTACAAAAAGTGTCGCGACAGCATATGTCTAACTATTATAGTTGTGCCGCAATAAGTGTTCTTTTATTGAAAAAAATAAAACAACGTCAAATATCGTTGAGATTTTTGTTAAAGACCCGAGCGGAGCCGGAGCGGGCCGCTAGTACATAATATAACTACATTCTACGTCTTGAGACGTCTGTGCGAAAATCTTATTAGTATTTTTTTTGGAAAATCTCTAAATGAAAAATCTTGTTTTTTTTATTGGTTTAGATGGTTGGACGAGCTCACAGATCACCTGGTGTTAAGTGGTAACTGGAGCCCATAAACATCTACAACGTAAACGCGCCACCCACCTTGAGATATAAGTTCTAAGGTCTCAAGTATAGTTACAACGGCTGCCCTATCCTTCAAGCCGAAACGCATTACTGCTTCACGGCAGAAATAGGCAAGGTGGTGATACCTACTCGTGTGGACTCACAAGAAGTCCTACCACTAGTAATCACAAGAGGTCCTACCACCAGTAATCACAAAAGGTCCTACCACCAGTAAATCTGCGGTCAAATTAAAGTGGATCTTGTCGTGTGTGATCGTGTCTAAGTCGAATATCGATACATAAGTAGGCAAAAACAAAACGGTATCTTCTATCTGTCAATCGATCTGTTTATATATATATTTTTCTTTTTTCTTCAATTCTAGCGACGATATTTTGTATTAACAATTAAAATCTCGGAAACTGTATATGTATTTCCTTTTTAAGATTGTAGCGGTAGCTATCTTACAACACAAGATATTTGGTAGATGAATCTCGCTTACGACATTCTCAAGATAAGCTTGCATATATACAAGTTCCGAACAACAACATTCGGACCATCGATCTACAGAGCGATATCGCCCGCTCGGTGGAAGATCTTCCCTTTGTCGTAATAAAACCTCCCACAAGATTCTCAACACCAAATTTTATGAAAGATTTTAAACATAAAATGAATGTAAGCCTTCAGGTGTCTAATTACTTATAATAATTAAGGTCGAATTTCAAACGTTGAGCCTATGACATGATAACTGAAGTCAAAAAATAGACGGCAGTAAATGTTTTAGTGTCAATGGGGCTTTGGTCTTCGTTTGGACATCACCTATGCCGAGAAAAAATACACACACCATTTATATTCCAAGTAAGACTTTAATTAAAGTATTAAATGCATAAACCGCTAACATCCTTTACAAACATCTGCTAAAATTACTAAAAATACAAACAAACAAAGTTAACGTGCTCTAATTGAAATTTCGGTGTTCTCATGCTTACTGGTATTAATCAATATTTTAGTGCAACAAGTCATCGAAAGGTGTCATCACTTGCGCAGATAAATATGGCAATTATAAATTATTCACAACAATTAAAACTAATCGAAGTATTATTTTACTAGATAACATTATAATCGATTTATCGGCGCAAGTGAATAATTAAATTGACTATATTCATAACTGCGAGTTTGAACAGTCTGAATGAATTAGAGAAGGTACCGCGCAACCCCATCGCCTTTTCCACATCCCTAGCGCAGTCCCACTCTCCTATCAAATCGGCAAATCGGGTGGCCTTACGCGATATCCCGCTCCCGCTGTAGGAAGGCGCGTCAAGCTCGCAGTTACGTACGCAGCCTCCATTACCTATCGTGCTGGTGCTGCATGTTCTTAGGGCGGCACTTGGGGAAGAGACGCGTGATCCGCTCGCCGACGTCGGAGCCGGGCGTTGAGTCGCCCGCGCCGTCCGCCCGCAGCGTGACCGCGCTCATGTCGCCTCCACCTTCACCGCGCCACCGCCTCTACCGGCAAACGATGCCTCTGCATTATTTGTATCGACCTATACTACTTATACTAGGTAAGTAAGTTCGGCTCGCGTTTAGTTGACACGGGAATTGATTTGTGTTTTTTTCCAAAAACATTGTTCAAAGAAAGACGTTTTAAAACCGGTTATGAACTCAGTGCGGCCAACGGTTCAATAATAAAAATACTCAACCTAGGCTTGCGCCGTGACTTCGCTTGGCGGTTTATTTTAGCTGACGTTACGAAGGCGATAATAGAGGTTGATTTTCTGTCATATTATAATCTTGTTGTAGATATTCGCAACCAACGCCTAATAGATGGTTGCACAAAACAATACAATGGTAGTACCTATTATATTGTAGTTTTATGTAGAGTTTTTACGAACAGTGACGGATTAGACCGGTGTTTCTCAACGTGGACCCCACGTCCCACAAGGGGGCAATTTGATAATTAAAGGGGGGCTATCGTTCAAATTAATATAGAAACTTAATTTTATTTTGAATTCCAAGAACAGTTTTTTATGATATGTTTTGAAATATTCCTTACTGTATTTTGATAACAATTTCATAGTGATTTCTTCCTAAAACCTATGTTATGTATTATGTATGTATCTATGTTTCCTAAGTAAACAAATCAATTTTTTTATGTTAAAAATTATGTATGGGTGGCATAAAAATTTTAGAAATGTTACAGTGGGACATGGCACAAGAAAGGTTGGCAAACACTGGATTAGACGCTTAGGAATCGTTAGCCTTGAGTTGACTAATCAGGAATAATTAAAGGAACTAATGACCCTTCTAGCCAATGCAACGCAGTAGGAATATGTAAATTCCTGCTTTTTTTGGTCATGATGTTAAGTTATTACCGGAGCCCATGGACATAAACCACGTTAGTGCCATCACTCACTTTGAGATATGAGTTCTAAGTCTCAATTCTATAGTAAAACTGATGCTCTACCCTTCAATCCGGAATGCATTACTGTTTCGCGACAGAATCAGGAACGGTAGTGGTATGGGGGGGGGGAGGTTAACAAGACTCCGTACCACTAATGATTACGCAAATTACAATTAAGTAAATACAAAAATTATATGTTCTGCGGCTTTGATTTTTATTACGTGAATTTCGTGATCGTAGAAGTTAGTCGTGAACATGAGTACGTATTTCATTTAAAAATTTGAATAGGTGCCTGCGGGATTCGAACATCGGTACATTTGCATCGCTCGATACCTGGCGTCTTATCTTTTAGGCCACGATGCTTCAAGAATTTACCGACATGTCCTAAAGTGTGGTGACGGCGTTCCCTTTGTAATCTTTATTGGCTATCTACTATCAGGTAAACTGTGTAATCAACAGCTCATCTAATGCAGTTAATGAATAAAAAAGGAATAGATTTGTAGTCCTACGAACAAGATTCATAAATGTGAAATTAATGCGGTATTTACTTCTTTCCAATTCAGAACGGTCTTCTCAGAAAACCGCTACTAAAATCTTCGGTGTTGATGTTAGAGGCAGTATCATTAGAACTAACAAACTTTCGCCCTTAGTTTGACCTTTGTCTCTTGCGTCAATAAACTTACCTACTCTTCGCATCGTTAACAAAATGTCATAACTTAAAAAAATGATGAAGTAAAACATTATAAATACGTCATTATATTTATTATTCTAAATAATATTCTTGCTATTGGTAAAACATAACGGATGCCGAAATAATCTATAACTGATGGTCTAGAAGACAAACTAAATCGAGACAAAATAGTATTCCATTATTATTATTTTTTGACATCTATAAATTTTAAATGGCCGTAACTGTACCATTAGCACTTTTTTAAATGTATTTTTTTCTATATTATTTTCAAAAACCCGTCAAACTTAAATAATATTTAATCATTTACGTCTAATTTGTCTTCTAGATTCCAGATCGATTTTAAGACATGCTCAAATAATTAATATAAATACTAAAATGTTTTATCATGCAAATATATATTACATTAATAAATTTTTATGCTGAAACTGTATATGAAAACAGTTCAGTGGCATTTTCTCCTGATGTTTGTCAACCGATTTTTTTTTAAATACATTTTGACCAGCTTGAGTTGTGCCAAAAAAAATATTTTCTTTAGATTTTCAAAGAAAAAGAAAGGTCGATGACCAAACAAGAGAAAAGCTGTAGTACAAAAAATTAATTTAAATCTTAAGGTGTTTGTGTTCATTGTGAAATTTCGACTGCTAGACGAACATAGTTTCCTTTAAAAGGTGAACGCTTGTTAATAATACTTAATGAGTTAATTATTTAATTTGTTTTCTTGACAAAATGAAAGAGATGCGTTATCGAAAGTAGAATACGTGGAAAAGAGACAACGAGAAGTCCCCATTACGTTATCACTCATGCGAAACTGTTTTCACAAAAATACTTCCCTGGAATGCTCTATTTGCTGTCTCGTTTTAACTTATGAAACATCTCTGTTGCGTTATTTTGATTTATCTCCAACACATGGTACTTGCCGGCCTAAATAATCCTTTAGCTACTAGTACTTATTCATGAATGTGTCAGCCTAAACAGCACAAAAAGTTGCGCAAGTACACATAATACTTAAAATAAGAAAACACATTTTAAACTGGCATTTCTAGTACGCGTTCGAAAATATACGCCTTAAATGCGATGAAAAGAAATGCGATGTGTTTTTTTTTTAACGCTTAGTTGGGCGGACGACTTTCACGGTCTGGTGTTAAGTAGTTTCCGGAACGTTCACTAAGAATGCAAATGCCGCCGCCCACCTCAAAAATGAATCTAAGTTTCGCATATGTATCTCGCGAGAATTTCGCTACTATCATCGATTGATGACAGCCGATGTTAAAAAGTTTATTATCTCAATTAAGTAATTTGTAAAGTAGAATTAAATCAAAATCTTAAAAACGTTTTAGCGTAGGCAGCGGCTTGGCTCTGCCCCTGGCATTGCTGAAGTCCATGGGCGACGGTAACCACTCACGATCAAGTGAGCCGTATGCTCATCTACCTACAATGGCAATAAAAAAACCTAATACGGGTTTAGAGAATATTAAGGTAATTTAAGTTAGTATTGTTATCCTGACATTGTCTGGCCTCGAAGCAGTCATACAACCCAATTTCAGAGTCGCGTGACGAAATCTAAAGTATACTAGAAGCAATTACAATAGATTTTTTTAATTCATCGGTGTTATAGCATCTATGACGCCGAGATTACAAGTGACGAATGCAGAACAAGGATATTATGTATTAAGAATGTTCCTATTTAGGTATTTACCAGACGGCAACAGTATTGCAAGCCCGCAAACGAGGGCGCGAGGACAATGACGTGTTTCGCATGGCACCGACTGTAACCGCTGCCAAACTACCGGATCGATACGGCATTAACGGTGGGGCCCCGAAACTGGCGGCTCGAATCGGCAATTCGAATCGTCATAACATATCTAATCACTAAGGCAAGAAAGTACGTACGATGAAGGTTTTATAAAGCCGTAATTCGAATTTCAAATTTTAGGAGAAACTTATAGAATACTCGCACAGACAGATGTTGTCCTGCATAAACAAAAATTAATTCAAGTCGATCTATCCGTTTATTTGCAGTATAGATATAATAAACTAGATACCGACTATAGCACTATCTGCCAGGCTGGTTTGTGAATCTAAACCATCCAGGGCGCTACCCAAACGCATACAAAAAAATTCATTTAAATCGGTCCAGCCTTTTTGGAGGAGTTCAGTGACATACATACGTACACTAGAATTATATATGGATATATACAGAAGATTTAAAATAAGTCGGACTCAATCTACTAAAAAGTCTTATATTGTGTTTTTATTTTTACGAGATAAATTAAAAATTTGTAATTATTAATTTAATTCAAAGATAATAAATCCCAGAACAGTCATTTTCATAGGGCGTTGATTGATTTTAAAATCACAGATCAAGTTTACTACTCTAATTTTTAATATCAATCCGTATATTCTATGATAATAACACATTTACACTACGAACAACTATGAAATTTAATTAAATATTAATATTTTAAAAAAAATCAGTTAGCTTCCACTCTCAAATTTTTTTCATAGAAACGCTAGTTTCGTGGCTCCATCGTTAAAAGCATGACACGTAGTCTCGGGTGGTGGCATCCGAAGCTTTTTTCTTAAGCCTTAAGGGGTGGATTCGTACCAAAGGTTTTTTATTACTCCGGACGGTCGCCGGTGTGTTTTGAAATATACATTTATTTTTTTTGTAACTTCAAATATAGAAATTACCTTGGTAGAAATATCTTGGAATCGAAATTACGAACATAATTATGATTACTTTTTATTTTGTTTGTAGCTAATTATCGGCTTAGTTATGATGGCAATACAATAATAACACCAATTTTCAAGTTTTTTCCCAGCATTATATCAACTTTTTACGTATTTTATGTCTTTTGTATGTATATATTTTTTAATTGACAACCTTGACATCATAAATATATTGAAAGCAATTACAATGCGTGCAGTTTCCAGAAGAGCATACAATTCTTTGAATTATTTTACACTATCTTCGACAAAAGTTTATGTAATACAAAAGTCAGCACTATCTTAAACGAGTAAATCGGTCTGTATAATTAATTCATTTTAGAAAATAGAAAACCTATTTCTGTAGTTATGTGAGATTTTCGTGCTTGTATCGACATTTGGCAGCTTAAAGCTGCGGTGTCCGTGGGCAGCAGCCGCGAGTTCATTTTTTTTTTATTGCTTTGATCGGTGAACTAGCTCACAGCCCAACTGGTGTTAAGTGGTTACTGAAGCCCATAGACATCCACAACGTAAATGCGCCACCCACCTTGAGATATAAGTTCTAAGGTCTGTAGTATAGTTACAACGGCTGCCCCACCCTTCAAACCGAAACGAATTACTGCTTCACGGCAGAAATAGGCAGGGCGGTGGTACCCACCCGCGCGGACTCACAAGAGGTCCTACCACCAGTAATTACACAAATTATAA